TAAATGTTGGTGTTGATGTTAAAAACTGGCCAGTAAACCTGTCTTAATGTTGATTTGATGTTACAACCTCCCCAGTACAATTTGTCAAAATTTGTTGGTTGATTTAAAACCCTGGCAGTCAACTTGTTTAATGTTGATGTTGATGTTACAACCTGACCAGTAAAAAACCTGTCTTAATGTTGATGTTGATGTTACAACCTGGCCAGTACAACTCTGTCTTAATGTTGATGTTGATTTACAACCTGACCGTACAACCTGTCTTAATGTTGATTTTGGGATGTTACAACCTGGCCAGTACAACTCTGTCGTTAATGTTGATGTTGATGTTACAACCTGGCCAGTACAACTCTGTTTAAATGTGATGTTGATGTTTACAACCTGGGGCATTTACAACTCTGTCTTAATGTTGATGTTGATGTTACAACCTGGCCAGTACAACTCTGTCTTAATGTTTGATGTTGATGTTACAACCTGGCCAGTACAACTCTGTCTTAATGTTGATGTTGATGTTACAACCTGGCCAGTACAACTCTGTCGTAATGTTGATGTTGATGTTACAACCTGGCCAGTACAACTCTGTCTTAATGTTGATGTTGATGTTACAACCTGGCCAGTACAACTCTGTCTTAATGTTGATGTTGATGTTACAACCTGGCCAGTACAACTCTATCTTAATGTTGGTGTTGATGCTACAACCTGGCCAGTACAACTCTGTCTTAATGTTGATGTTGATGTTACAACCTGGCCAGTACAACTCTGTCTTAATGTTGATGTTGATGTTACAACCTGGCCAGTACAACTCTGTCTTAATGTCTTCAATACTGCTGTTTTATGTATTATTATCTTGCTTCACTCTTCCCTTATTTTATTGTATTGTTCTTGTGTGGTACTTGTTTACTGTTCTGGTGTATATTCCTGTACTTTTCTTCTGTGTTACAATAGTGTTCTTATGTGTTACTGTAGTGTTCTTTTGTGTTACTGTACTGTACTGTTTTGTTCTATTGTTTTTTGAAGTACTTTTCTAGCCACTTCTTCATTACTTATATTTTGTCTTTTCCATCACTGGTCAATAAACAAAATGCTTCCGAAACCAGAGTAGCAATTTCCAACTAATTTCAGAACACTGATGATTAATATCATGGTTAAAATTGGTTTCAGTGTACACCTTCGTGTCACAACAGGTTCCAGCAGGCTTGCGACAGTGTGCTTCTTACCACACTCAGTCTCACTGACCTTCATTATTGTTCCAGCAATCATAGAAGGTGGTTTCTATTTTGAGGTGAAAGTTAGGTGATTTTCTTAGCCAGACACCAAGTACTGCTGCTGTTTATGTGACTGGGACAGCCGTGCAAGAGGTTCCCACTACATCAGGAGAGACTGGCAACCTAGTCAATCACTGGAGTCTGGGATGAAAAATGCTCAACGTCCACCTCTCATTGAACCAAACAAGATTTTGCTACCATCACTACACATAAAACTGGGGCTCATGAACAAATCCAGTCAGTATTTAACATCAAAATTCCCCTCACTGAGCGACGCTAACATAAGAGAGGAAGTTGTTGCAATTCGTCATTTTCAAAACACTAAAACATCCTCAAGTAAATATGAAAGTACACAAGTACACTCACACAGACACACACACGCACATATTATTATTATTATTATAATAAAAAGAAGCGCTAAATCACAAGGGTCATGCAGCGCATCACAATAACCACAACACATGTATTTCTCTCGTCCTTGTCTAACATCTGATATTGCACAGGAAATAAACCTGAAATAAAGAAATTCTTTAGCGTAAATTTTAATTGAATCCTGTAGTTTCCTACAACATCTTCCATAACAGTGTCTCCCACAGTGTCTCCCACAGTGTCTCCCACAATGTCTCCCACAGTGTCTCCCATAATGTATCCCACAGTGTCTCCCACAATGTCTCCCACAATGTCTCCCACAATGTCTCCCACAATGTCTCCCACAATGTCTCCCACAGTGTCTCCCACAATGTCTCCCACAATGTCTCCCACAATGTCTCCCACAGTGTCTCCCACAATGTCTCCCACAATGTCTCCCACAGTGTCTCCCATAATGTCTCCCATAATGTCTCCCACAGTGTCCCCCACAATGTCTCCCACAATGTCTCCCACAATGTCTCCCATAATGTCTCCCACAATGTCTCCCACAATGTCTCCCATAATGTCTCCCACAATGTCTCCCACAATGTCTCCCACAATCCCTCCCACAATGTCTCCCACAATGTCTCCCACAGTGTCTCCCACAATGTATCCCACAATGTCTCCCACAATGTCTCCTACAATGTCTCCCACAATGTCTCCCATAATGTCTCCCACAATGTCTCCCGAAATGTCTCCCACAATGTCTCCCATAATGTCTCCCACAATGTCTCCCACAATGCCTCCCACAGTGTCTCCCACAATGTCTCCCACAATGTCTCCCACAATGTCTCCCACAATGTCTCCCACAATGTCTCCCACAGTGTCTCCCACAATATCTCCCAAAATGTCTCCCACAATGTCTCCCATAATGTCTCCCACAATGTCTCCCACAATGTCTCCCACAGTGTCTCCCACAATGTCTCCCACAGTGTCTCCCACAATGTCTCCCAAAATGTCTCCCACAATGTCTCCCATAATGTCTCCCACAATGTCTCCCACAATGCCTCCCACAATGTCTCCCACAGTGTCTCCCACAATGTCTCCCACAGTGTCTCCCACAATGTCTCCCAAAATGTCTCCCAAAATGTCTCCCACAATGTCTCCCATAATGTCTCCCACAATGTCTCCCACAATGTCTCCCACAGTGTCTCCCACAATGTCTCCCACAATGTCTCCCACAGTGTCTCCCACAATGTCTCCCACAATGTCTCCCATAATGTCTCCCACAATGTCTCCCACAATGCCTCCGACAGTGTCTCCCACAATGTCTCCCACAATGCCTCCCACAGTGTCTCCCACAATGTCTCCCACAATGTCTCCCACAATGTCTCCCATAATGTCTCCCACAATGTCTCCCACAATGCCTCCGACAGTGTCTCCCACAATGTCTCCCACAATGTCTCCCACAGTGTCTCCCACAGTGTCTCCCACAGTGTCTCCCACAATGTCTCCCACAATGCCTCCGACAGTGTCTCCCACAATGTCTCCCACAGTGTCTCCCACAGTGTCTCCCACAGTGTCTCCCACAATGTCTCCCACAATGCCTCCCACAGTGTCTCCCACAATGTCTCCCACAATGTCTCCCACAATGTCTCCCACAATGTCTCCCACAGTGTCTCCCACAATGTCTCTCACAATGTCTCCCACAATGTCTCCCACAATGTCTCCCATAATGTCTCCCACAATGTCTCCCACAATGTCTCCCACAATGTCTCCCATAATGTCTCCCACAATGTCTCCCACAATGTCTCCCACAATGTCTCCCACAATGTCTCCCACAATGTCTCCCATAATGTCTCCCACAATGTCTCCCACAATGTCTCCCAAAATGTCTCCCATAATGTCTCCCACAATGTCTCCCACAATGTCTCCCACAATGTCTCCCACAATGTCTCCCACAATGTCTCCCACAATGTCTCCCACAATGTCTCCCATAATGTCTCCCACAATGTCTCCCACAATGTCTCCCACAATGTCTCCCACAATGTCTCCCATAATGTCTCCCACAGTGTCTCCCACAATGTCTCCCACAATGTCTCCCATAATGTCTCCCACAATGTCTCCCACAATGTCTCCCACAATGTCTCCCACAATGTCTCCCACAATGTCTCCCACAATGTCTCCCACAATGTCTCCCACAATGTCTCCCACAATGTCTCCCATAATGTCTCCCACAGTGGTCCCCACAATGTCTCCCACAATGTCTCCACAATGTCTCCACAATGTCTCCCACATTGTCTCCCACAATGTCTCCCACAATGTCTCCCACAATGTCTCCCACAATGTCTCCCACAATGTCTCCCACAATGTCTCCCACAATGTCTCCCACAATGTCTCCCACAATGTCTCCCACAATGTCTCTCACAATGGTATTTATGTTAACTCAAAATTCCCAAAAGTTTCACTTAACATTTCACAGGAACCATCACTCTCTCATCCACAATGAAAAAAATCTTATTGTTAAAGTCGACCTTCACGACAAAAAAATGATTTTATCAGTGTCTCTGATACTGCTGTTTTTATTCACTTGTATGTTACTCTGCTGTACCTCAGCAACTCTGGCAACAAACTCAATGTCTTTTGTAAGAATTCGCTTTTTCTGTTTATTCTCCAAGATTATGTTGATGCACATATGTCCTTCCTCTTTCTAAACCCAGCCCGTTATTCATTACTTATATCTTGTCTTTTCCATCACTCGATCAATCAACAGGTAATAGACAAACACTAATATTTTATTTAAATTAAACAATATCTTTCAGTTTTTTCTAACACTGTGTCCAGCAGTTGTGAACTGTACCAGAAACAAAGACAGAGACAAAAGCGGTTCGCTATTTTTTTGTTTCCACTTATTGTTTATATTTGTGTCCGGATGTGACTCTGTCTTCCCACCAAGAAATCTGCTGCAAAAAAGTTATCAGCTTCCTGTCTTTGTTGCTGTTCGTCTTCTTATATATATGCAAGTTACTGAAACGTCCATAAGTAAACACACAAGTATACATGTACAGACAGACAGACACACACACACACACACACACACACACACACACACACACCACACACACACACACACACACACTTTTGAATTGTTAAATGTTAGTCTCTGTCTCACGTTTTAATTTTTCATTGCTTCACTTCGCTCACCTTCACTATATTGACAAAAATATTCGCAAGCACAACAAAAAAAATCTAGGAAAAGAAAATAAGATCTACACACCAGGAGAGTCACTCTCTCGACAAAATGGATTGTTGGTGTTGATGTTACAACCTGGCCAGTACAACTCTGTCTTAATCTCTTCAGTTCTGCTGTTTTGTGTATTATTCTCTTGCTCTACTCTTGTGTGGTACTTGTGTTCAGTTATACCGTTTTACTGTATGCTATTGTACTTTTCATGTGTTACAGTATTGTTTCTTTGTGTTACTCTACAGTTCTTCTATGTTACAGTACTTTATTGGTTTGTGTTGTTCTATTGTTATTATGAGTTACTTTCCTTGTGTTATTGAACTGTTCTCCAGTGTTAATACAGTGTTTTATGTGTTAGTATGAAGTTCTTGCATATTATAGTAGTAATTTTCTTCTGTGTTACTCTAAGTTACTGTACTGTTCTTGCGTGTTGCTGTAGTGTTCTTCTTCATTACTTTACTGTTGCTGTATGTTGACATGTTTACTGTGTTGTTGAGGTGAGGTAAAGGTCCTACATTATTATTTACATCAAGCACTTCAAACTTTCTCTCTGTACCTTCCACAACAGTGTCTCCCACACTGATTATTCATGTCACTTTTACTTTCTAGATCACTTACAAAATTGCAGCTCTCCCTAACTTATGTGCCTCAGGTAGATTATAAATCGCTTCAAGGAATTGTTCACTACCCTAGCACACTTAGTTACCCTTCACATCACTTGGGAAGCACTCGAAAACACTTATATTCGCGGAGCACGGAAGGCGTGACTCGCACACGCACTGTGTGTGTGTGTGTGTGGGAGTGTGGGTATGTGCGTGTGTGGCTGTTGGAGTGTGTGGGTGTGTGTGTGTGGGTGTGTGTGTGTGTGTGTGGTGTGTGTGTGTGTGTGTGTGTGTGTGTGGTGTTGTGTGTTTGTGTGTGTGTGTGTGTGTGTGTGTGTGTGTGAGTGTGTGTGTGGGTGTGGCTGTGTGTGTGTGTGTGTGTGTGTGGGTGTGTGGGTGTGTGGTGTGTGGGTGGCTGTTGGAGTGTGGGGGTGTGTGGTGGGTGTGTGATGTGTGTTGGCGTGTGGGTGGTGTGTGTGTGTGTGTGTGTGTGTGTGTGTGTGTTGTGTGGGGGGTGTGTGTGTAGTGGCTGTTAGTTACCATTTTTGTCTAGGCACATGTCGATTAGACACTAGGCCTGTTGTGTGTGTGTGTGTGTGTGGTGTGTGGTGTGTGTGTGGTGTTGTGTGTGTGGGTGTGTGTGTGTGTGTGTGTGTGTGTGTGTGTGTGTGTGTGTGTGTGTGTAAATTATGAGTCCTCTCTCGCTTACGCTCCAGGGACTACAGTTCAAGGAACTTCAAACGTCCAAAATAATTTTATGCTAGATTGTATAAAGAGAACAAGGGTTTCGCTGAGTAGTATTCAGCAATATTCCGTTAGAGAGAGAATAAGTGTTTTACATAGTATCATGACTGGCTTGGCATCTCTCTGTTATGAGGTTATAGCTGTATCCACGCTAATCATTTCCCTTGTGATTATGATAGTAACTGTTGCCATAACTGAATGCGAGACCTAACATTATCACGTCAAAGTCCATTACATTAACTTTCCGCTCTACCGAGTGGCTTGAATTTATATTTATCCTCCGTTCAATTACACAGAATCAAAAGGCTGAGGCAGGACCCGGGAGCTGAAGCTCAACCCTAAGTAACCACTAATTACAAAGACAACCCTCGTCAAAATAAACACTAGTAAATAAATAAACCCTCCCCGCTAGCACACTGGGCTCACACACTGAGGTCGGGATAGAACCCCCGGTACGGCTGGAAAAACATTAGACGTGTTACCTTAAGACATCTGTTGTCTATATTTACCCATCAGTATAAAATGGGTACTGGGTGTTAGTCGACTGGTTTGTGGGTCGCAAACTGAGATAAAACTGACGTAATTTGCCCGAAATGTTCAATATAACAAGCAGCTTTCTATATAGTAGTATGTCACTGATGTCAGCTAGACCTGTATACCTTGTACATGTACTTGTAGAAGATGTAATAATAATAATAACAATAACTAAACCTTTAAATCCCCTTAGCAATATTGCAATAATAGCCTACCATGATATGTCTTAATGAAAACATTACCATGTACTAATCGACAATGCTGAATTTTTCAGACTTCGCATGAGAGGTGCAAAATTTTGAAAATTTATGACCAAGACACACAAGCAAAATAGCCTGCCATGAAATGTTTTTAGTGTAACACTATGATGTAATGATCGACCTTGCACGACGTTCTTCAGACAACATAACACCCTTTACCGGGCAGACCCGAGTGTAGGCGGTCATCATAGCGTGGTTTTTTTGCGCACGTCCTACAACTCCCGCCGCGTATCTAGGTTCCCATTCTCTATTTCTGACCAATCACAGACCTTCCCTGAGTCGCCCAGGCTGAGCGGTGATGGCGGCTGCTCGCTTCCCATTGGTCGAGACAGCAGAATGTAAACACTTCTACCTTGCCGGCGCCAAAACTCGTGTTTCTCGGTATAGTGCTCCTTATATACTGAAGCATTTCACCCAATACAATGTCGGTAAGTACTGTTTTGGGTGTGTCTAGTGTGTAAATGAATAGTTTAGCCATATTTTGATATATATTGAAGGCGTTGTGAAGCATATTACGAGTGCACCATGCAAATGAAAAAAGTGCAACAAAATAGACCAAGGACGGCCGTTCCTCCCCTTTTGGGTGCAGTTTTCAAGTTTCGGTATATAATATTTTTCCATAAAATTTGGTAGTGTAAAATCTGAATTCAGTAATGGTCTGGTGTGTACAGAACGTTTTTATTGTCCTTCCAGATCAAAAAGAAATTGTTCTACGGTGAGTCCTCCAAGGAAAAGTCGAGATTTGTCTGGTTTGGGATGACAGTGACTCAGATCAAGATCCAGATGCCCTGGAAGTGGTGGAAACTGATGATGAATACTTGCACAAGATGCAGGGGTGCCAACAGATGAGAAGGAAGCTATGCCACCATCCAAAAAGAAGAAATTGAACAAGAAGAAGAACTTGCTTACATGCAAGTATGCAGCAACAAGAATAATCATGTCGCATCTTCATTTTCCTGTGCCACATGCAAGTAAATCTATCCATCAAGAAGGATGAAATTGTTTCATAAAGTTTCATTGCAGAAATTAGTGATGTAAAAGGATTGTTCTTTTCAGGGAACTCAAGAATATTTCATTTGTAAGTTGTATCTCATTGAAATGTGTCATTGTTGATAAGTAGTTTTCCTACTTCTTTTTTTTTTACTGCTTATAAATTGTTCGAAACAAGTTCCATTTATGTTTTTTATATTGTCTACTTTTATAATAAATTTAAAAAATATTTATTTCGTTTTTTTTCAACAATTGCAACCTTGCAACATTCTAAATTGTTATACCCCAAACGGGCAGGACCGCATATACTCGGTGTTCGAATATCTGCAATTGCCCGAGATGTTACTTTCACAACTCTGTTTGGATGGTCTCAGTGACCTTACATCGAGTGGCTCTATCTCCTCATACGAAATCACTTTCAAAATCTGCATTTTAGTCTGCCTTGCCCTCTAAAGGTACAAAATACCGACAA